TTTTAAAAAACCCCAAAACAAAAAAAAAAAAAAAAAAAAAAAAAAAAATGGGGCAGGTTAAGGACACAAAGTCAAGCAGAAAGAGCAACGAAACTCAAACCTGTAATCTGAAAATAAAATAATCCAAATCAAATTATGAGGTAAAAGTTAAGGTCACTGTCTGTGTTTTGAATACCAGGTATCTAAGCCACTTAATCCTGAAATTGATTACATTATGCACCTTTTAAGAGGATAAAATGATCTCTATACACAAAAGGAGATCTTTTGTTGTATCTGAACAAAACACCCCATTTAGCAAACATTATAACTTGAGTCAGAATAATGAACAATGTTTTAAACCCATCAAGCTGATTTCCAAAAACCTGAAGGTGGATGCATCTCTCTGTGTTTTGTTTTTTGTATTTTCCTCCCCCTTTTGCAAGTAGTTTTCATGAAAACATCAAATCTGATCTTTCACACGCATTTCACCAAGGCCCTTCAAAATGTACATCTGGACACTTTGAATAAAACAAACTCTTGTCCTGCACTGACTGTGTCCTAAATCCCCAAATGAATTTCATTGTCTGTTTCACTCGTGGGCATGAGGTGCTTTTCCACACATTTTGTTCTTTGTTTCACACCAAACACACCTGGAGTGTGTTTTGCTCAAAAGCTCAATGTGAGTATGACTGGACATTTGTCTTGTTTATAATTGCTGTTTTGAAAAGGGATTATTGGTCTAACTTTTAATTTGGCGAGATTTTGACAGTAGCCAAAATCTGCCTTATTAAGAAAAACAAACTTAAGACATTAAATTGCTCATTCTCTTGTCTTCTACTTCATACGAAGAAACATTATTATTTAGTGATCCTAAGATTCCACTTTTTTGCTGCAGTTTTTTTTTACCTGTGAGCTTTAGATTTGTTTGCCTCCCTTTGCATCCTGGTATTTGAGTGTGGTGACTAGACAAGCTTCATACATTAGCCAGCCTTGATTGTTGCAGGAGAGGACTGTAGACATAGACAAGTTTAGGTGTGCAATGTTCTTATTGCCATCTCCTGAAATATGCTTTCCTGTTATGGGATACGTCTTGTCTTTTTCATTTAAGAGTAACTGAAGTTCAAAATGGGTAGAGGCAGAGCTGACTTTGACTACAGTCCTTGAACGTGGCACACTGTGCAAGATTGTTACTATAAAATCTGAATAATAACTCTTGCTACACTCTGTGAATATGCCATACTTGCACAACTTCTTGCTCTAGCAGAAATGTCAAATATGATTAAATAGAGATTTAAGTCCATTTAAGAATGGACAGCAGGTTATGGGTGGTTATTAGTTGAGTCAGATTCTAAAAGAAGACTACAAGAACAAAGAAAAGGTGTGCTTTGTAGCAAACCACTTACCAACTGATTTGGTCAAATGTTTAGGCGGAAAACCACTGGGAAAGCAATTTCTGCCCAAGCTTTAATATCTTGACTGATTTATTTTGCAAACTCCACCAGTTCCTCCTGTGGCAACCACACAGCATGATACTGCCCACCCCATGCTTCACAACCTAGCTGACTTAAACTCTTCCTTCTTTTTACATCTCCACAAGACATGTTTTGGGAAAAAAAAAATCTCAAGCTTCATTTGCAAGTCATAATCTGGCTTGTTTGTTGCTTTGACACACATCTACACCAGGTCTTCTGCTTTTATTCTGGGGTTTATGTTTTGAAGCAAATCATGTTCTTTCCGGGCCACAGTATCTTTTTTTTTTCTGAACGGTGTGGCTGGATATTTCTGTGGTTTGTTTCACTTGTTTGTTTGCACTTGCATATATGAGTGTTTGAAAGTTTTCCAGAGGATTTAGAGTTTCACAATTTTTTTCACATTGTGTAATTTATTAGCCTTTCAGAAACTCACAAAGCCTTTCCCAAATTGTTTAGAGGTATAGAAATTTCAGGGTATGTAAATTTCTGAATGTGTAGCAGGCAATAAAAATCTTCTCCCTTGTTATTAGAAAATTTAAATAAGTTGGGTAAGCCTTCCAAACCTAAAAGAGAAAGTTTAGTCTGATTTAACATCAGACAAAAAGAAGAATAGTTTTTTTTGTTTGTTTATGTTTGGGGAGGGAGGGGTGTGAGTTTACATGTAAAATATCCTATTTCAGCAGTACTTTTAGGCTTATTGCACATCTTTACAAGGGGACTCAGGCGTGAAGGGCGCTGTACATTTGAATCTGGTCTTCTTCATTGGCCTCAAATATTCTGATGGGAATAAAATTGCAACAGTTGATTTCCAATATCATCAATCTTAGCAGACAGGTAAACTCATGCAGATATTCTGCGGTTTTTAAAAAGGAAAACCTTCAGGCTACATTCTGTCCTTTTGACTTTGAGTAAAAAAAAAAAAAAATCTCACTATAACACTATAACACAGCAAGCAGGACTGCCTCCCGAGTGCTGAAATTCACTTGATCAAAGACAAATAGCCAACAACAGTGCCCTGTTTTCCAGCATTCTCATAGACGAGGAGGTGCCCCACTTGTGCCCACATTGTAAACTCTCATTGGATGAAAACGTTGTCAATCAAGGCGGTCTGACTCTGCATCAGCCTCACGCAAAACAAAGTGCTTCAAAACAAACAGAGTAAAACCGGAATTTAAAGCGGCACTTCTTTAGTTGCGACAAACAATAACAGAGATTTATGCTTTGAAAATGAATTGTGGTGTTTATTATTATGCTTCTATGCGATAAATAGTGAAATAATATTCAATAAAGTATGTAAAATTAAATGTAATTAAATGGAGTATTCGCTTTCCTCCAGAAACAGATGCTTTATTTTGAAAGTCCTAACCGGAAGTGCTCGATGCTGCTAGTGTGGCTTGACAGACTTCTCACTCCATCGTCATCATCCGAACACACGGCGGCGACAGGCTTTCCGGCGGGGACGAGTCTCTCCCTCTGTTCTCCCTCCGTGTGAGGAAAATAAAACACAGACAGAGGAGAGAGAGAGACAGAGAGAGAGAGAGAGAGAGAGAAAAAAAACATTAAAAAAATTCCTTCACAAAATCTCAACTGAAAACTCCGATGGACTGATTTGATTTTCTGCGGTAAGCTTGGTTTTGTTTTTATGTCTTACTTCTGCTCCAAACCGGTGCAGCCGCCTCGTCCTCTGTTTTGCTCTGTGGGTTGAATCCATCTCAGGAGAGAAGAGGGGAGATAAATAACACGCTTTAAAGCGCCACGGTCGTATGACCAGACTGTTCCTGTAGAAGTGGGTTTGCTCTCATGTGCGAGTTTGAGATCAATCAAAAAGAACGACGTGCTGTGATTTTGCGGCTGGTGTTTTGCATTCGTGCGTTTCTGAAGAGGTGTTGCATCTGCTGCAGGGACGGATGGGTTGCAGAACAGAGCTGACTGCTGAGGCCGAGAGCACCACAGACCCGCAGACAGCCTCCTATTGATTAGTCTCCGAATTAATTGTCACATTTGTTGAGCTTATTGCATTGCCACGCTGTTAAATTTCCAATTAAAGCCGCTTTAATCGGGTTATCTGTTGTGTCTGGAAGTGCTGCCATCCATTTTGGAGGCAAACACAAATGGGATGATGTGCTGGCTTCCCATGTGATATAAGTTAGGATGCAGTTGGTGTTTTAGTTGACGTGTCTTCATCTTCACTCATCACCCTAAACCTGAGAGTGCACAGTTGTGTGTGATATGTTTCACTAGATTGAAATGAGTTACTAATGCTCCATGCAAATGTTTCTTTAGGACCTTTGTGTTCACAAGTAAACAAGATGACAGACATGTTTGCACCTCAGCATTAGTTTACAAGCATGGCCCTCAAACTGTGGTGCACTAGTGGGATGGGACTCAAAATAAATTGGAGGATTAAATATTTGCAAGGTAAATCTGAATTTACTGTGCTGCAACAAGCGCCTGTAGTCAAAGACAGGAAGTGTACTGGTGCACTAATTTTTGCTTTGAAAAATAATCTACTCAAAGCAAAGTTCACTGGAGGAAATTTGGAACTTGTTGACTATTGACCTTTTGCTTACAATGACTCTTTGCTCTCCTGCCCACAAGCTGGGCAAAAGAAACTCTTAGATAAGTTGTTTGCTCATAAAAAAATAAATACATAATGATTTTTTTTCTGATTTTAGGTCATTTTTCAAGTTCTGACTCTTATATTCTCCAAGGGAAGTCCAAATTAGGAGTAGTTACACCAATACTCACTTCTGATTGTCTGATCAATACCTCCTTATAAGTCTTCTTTCCCTGTTTATTTCTTTCTGATTTGTTTCTTGCTTTTCTGGAAATAGTATAATAGTCAGAATTAGACCATTAAAAACAACCCTCATCATTCAAGTAATACTTCCTCAATGTCGAATTGTTTATGTCATAAATCTGTAGTTTGCAACCATTAAATTCTCCTTAGTTTCAGTTTCTTAGCATTAACTACTTAATAAATGTGATTTTCACTCTATGAACTTTTGTGAACTGTTCAAATTTCCAGGTTGATTCTTTACTTAAGTAAAAAACAAGTCTCTGAAATTAATTTTACTGATAAGTTACAGCTGGGTGTAAAGCCTAACTAATTTAGAGCATAAACAATAAAGGATATACAGGACTAATTTAAGTTTTGATAATCAGTGAGACTGATCGGTTTCTGGACATTGATCATTTGTGGTGGCTGATATTTTTCTATAATTAAATATCCTGTTTCCTGTATTCCTGTTTCATTTGAACAGTGAAACAGTAACAAGTGCTGGTGGCTACTTACCTCTAGATTCAGAACTTGGATTTGAGAATGAAATTAGACCCAACATAAGCAAACTGGAAAACAATTGGGAATTGCTTGACACGGAGAGTGACCAGGCTAACTGACGTTAGCATGAAAGGCTAATATGTGTTTTGTAGTTTCTAAGACTCAGAAGTTGTCATTATTTCTTTTCTCCTGATTTACTGAGTCACCTGCAGACTTCGTGGCCCATTTTTCTTTTCATTTGTGTTGTTGAGTTAGTCTAAGTTCAGCTTATATATTTCCAGTATCCTCTGCTGGAAATTACAAAGGATAACAACATGGTTCTTCATCATGTTGGCAAATGATGAAGAACCAACCTTTACCCTTCACTGAAGCAACTTTTGGAAATATTCATCAACAGATCCCAAATTCAGACAAATGCTCTGCTATTTCCTGGTTTATTTGATACTCCAATGTTCCTTATTTCCCAAGTCTCAGTGCAAGATGCCCAAATCAAGCTGACTGAACGGATAATTACAATGGTCTCAGTTATTTAACAGCATGACTCAACACACTCAACTGTGAACACTGTGACACTGAAACACAGCTAGGCTTAAACCACGTACTGTATGAAGCTCAGCTGTGGGTTTTATAACCCACTCTGTTCATTCAGCGCTCGAAGAGCGCTTTGAAAGCTTTAACACTGCGTTTCATTGTCCTTGTAATCTTGTGGCCAAGTGAAATGTGCCCATTGTCCTGCTGTTGATACACTGAATGAACTCGGTTGTCTGACACAAGCAAATGTTGTAACTATCCAGAGAATGGCAGCCATAAGGAGGAGATTGTCCGTGTCGTCGAAAATCCAGCAGACAGAGCGGCGTTTGTCGTATTTCATCCAAATGGGACACAGCTTCAAGTGATGCTCTTCTTGTACTTGTCTTTGTTGGTGGAACAAAACGTCGGGTTTTGGACTTGGGTAAGGTCAACGCGTGTGCGTTGTCCGTGGGAGTCGGGTGGGAAGTTCGACATTAACTCCTATATCAATAATCTTGAGTGTAAAGTGACACCACACCTCAAAAGAATCAGGCCTGTGTTTGGAAGGGGTTGGTTGAATTGCAAAGCGGTCGCATTTATGAGAGATTGGTAAGTTAAGTTCTGTGAAATGATGAAGACATTCCAGTAGTAGTAATCACCATCTGAGCACAGCTTCACTGTCTTGTGGTTCTTGGTCGGGTTTCAAAGACTCAAAGCCAGTTTTTGTTATTGAGGTTTTATTTTTGTATGTCATGTATCAGGTACATGACATACAAAGGTTGCAGATTGTGTGTTTCAATTTACCAAAAACTCAGTAAATACTGAAAACTGTTTTGGGCACCATAGCAAATAAGCAGAATTGTTTTAAGAGAAAACAGGAGACAAAAAGTCTAATGCAGTGGTAGCGAAATATCTGAAAGGCCATCTATTCAATTCACTCAAATAAACATAATTTAACTGTGATTTACTGGCAAGCACCAAGCCACAACAATGTTATTTTAAAAGATTTATTTAAAGGATTGTGGCTGTCGTGGGAGAAGAGGATTAATGAATTTTTATGGACTCATCTGAGGGGAGGCTGGCTGCTGGATGCTTCAGCGATCCAGACGCGTAGTGGCAGTTCTGTCTCAGCACATCAGTTCCCCAGTCCAGATAAGGACCTTCATGATACTACGTAGGGCACAGTAGAACAAATGGGTCAAACGAAGAAGATAATGGATAATGAGGCAGGGAAGATGGATCAAGAAGGTGGTCATGAAGGAGAATGGTTAGGGTCAGGGATGGAGGAAGTAGGGATGAGCGTTTAGGGAGTTCAGTGGTAGAGGTGAGAGTCGAAGGAAGTAAGGTTTTGGGAGTTAGGAGAAGGGATGAATGTTGAAGGACATGGAAATGAAGGGTAGGATCCCGTAGTGAGAGGTAGTTGTAAGGGTTGAAGGCAGGAGAGGTGAGGATTTAAAGGATGATGGTGCTGAACAGGATGGCATAAATATAAAAAATATTACTTGATATACTATAAATGCAATGATAGCCCTGTCACAATAACAAATTTTCCTGCATGATAAATTGACCCAAAGGTTAATGCGATAAACGATAATATTGTTGTTTTGAGACCGTTTTCAAAGCAATAATAATGCAAGGACACATTCTTGGAGATAACTTTAAATTTTGATGAACATTTAACACTGGAACTGGCAAAAAATTTCAAATATCAACAATACATAAACAAAACAACATATAAAATGAATCATTGAGTCTCTGTAAACAAAACTGTCCTTCAAAATAAGGGCCAGTTGACACCAAATCACCAGTCTGAAGATTTTTTTCATGCAGCTTTTGGTAGAAAAAGGAACAAAAAAAAACCATTCAATTATGCAAGTGAAAATCATTGAGTTTGTTTATTAAACGATTAATTGATTATTGTGAAACCTACACAGGAATTTTTTTTCCCTAACACTCTAATCTTTGGTGTTTCGATGAACATTTTAACTTTTGCTTTACTGGATATGGATGGTTTCGTCTGTGCAGAGCGTTCACTTTTGGACGTGTCACTTTCTCAGGTCTGTCTGACTGTTTCCTGTTTTATCCATCTGTTAACCTTAACCTGACATTCCTACACATTTGCAGGAACAGCCCTGTCTCTTTCCTTACCATGCTGTTGTGGGCCTCTTTGATTCAAGCTGTTCATCTGGGTCTGAAAATAGCACAAGAATTGTTCTTGCTGAGACTGAGGTGAAGACTTAAGGCTGTGATACCATCATGTGCTTTCTTTCGGGGGAGGGGGGGGGTTAAGTTGTGTCACAGGTTGATCTGAGCTGAGCATGAAAAAGTCTTGATACTACTTGAACTTTTTTTGCATTTTGCAAAAAAACGCAAATGCAAAATGCAGCAAAATTGTGATGTAAAGAGAAAATACTATCTAATTTGCATCAATAAATATTGTAAAAGCTTGGTGTACTTTTGTAAAGTGGACTTTGATCTGGCATTTTTAACATGGGAACAGACTTTAAAACACTTCTTTGTATACTCACTTAGGGATGGGCGATATGAACTTGAAGTTTTATCGCAATATTTTGTGGCACTATTGTGATAACGATAAAATTGGCAATAAGAATGATTTATTACTCCTTTTTTAGATAACTGTATAGCTGTGACTTTGTGTCAAAGCAATTATAGCCCCATAAACACATACAGCTCTTGAAAAACATAAAACATTCCAACTTGTAAAGCACTTCTTTAGGACACTAGTCATATAAATCTACAAATTGTAAATGCATTTAATAATATTTTCAAAATTATTGATTTATTGGTCCTTTCCTTGAACAAACTGTGGAGAAAATAGTAAAAATTAACAGACAATATCCACAGGTTTGGGAATTAAGTGGAATTTTCTGTTGCAGCGATAAATAATAATAAGAAATTTATCACAATAAACGATATGATAAACTTCCATCCCTACATTCAATATCAGCCCCAGTCTGGCCCAAGTTTGAAATATTTTGCTGCACCAAATTTGCAGCTGGACTTGAACGTGCAGGCTAAATGTGTTAGCAACTCCTGTCACTCTGCATGATGGAAGATGTTGTGCCGCACCGTCATCAGACAGAGTTGATGAATGTGTTAGTCTATCAATAAATCTGTACTAAGTTATGGGTGTTAATGCGGTCAATGTTGAATTCGAATGCTGGAAAGAGGGGGAGGAAGATGCAGGAGTGACGAGATCTGCAGAGGGGCTCGTGGTTGGGCTGAGAGAGGAAAGAAACTGACCTCTGACCTCACGATAAGTTTTGCCGGACGATAAATTTTCCACTGTTGCTTTGTTTTAGCTGAAGGAAATGTCCCTATATAATAATCAGTTAGCTTGTACATGTTGTGTGAAAAACCTCCACGCAGCATTACGCCGCCTTGGGTTGGTGTTTTTATGGTCATGTGCAGCATTCGTTTCCCTCCAGACAGAGTTTTGGCCTGTATCTCTTGGAGCTAGTGTCTATTTATGTAGATCTCTGTCACCGTAAACACAAGGAAAAGTTAAACTATTTGGACTTTCCCATATGACAAATGGTGTTGACTCATCCATGTAATAGCTTGAATCTGAAACTTTTTGATGAATGTGTGTGTGACATGTTTATGGCGTTACAGTAGTGAATGATTGTTATCCGTCCCCTCGCCTGTGTTGATTTATGAGGGGCATCTTTTTCTGCCCTGAAACTTTTCTCTGCTGCCCAAACGTGGCGGCCTGCGCACGGTGGGAAGACGTGCACAAATGGAGACGCTCTGGACCTTTTTAACTCGGAAAAGACAGAAGGTTTTCATGATCCCCCCCACAGGCACAACGGTAACAAGAGATCTCCCCTCA